CAGTGGCCGCCTGTGGCTTTCGGATGTCTTGTCCCTATTTCTTCCGCCCTCCTGGGTGGGCCCCTGGCCTGCGGGTTTATAACGGGCAGTGAGGAAGACAGTTACGAGAGGGACAGCAGGTGACGGCGTTGAGGCAGGACGTGCAGACTGGGTTTGGGGACAGTCCCTTCACCTCTCCCCGAGCTGCTGCTGTGCGGGCAAGGTGCTTCGAGCACCAGGGGCCGAGGCCCAGAATGGGTTTGCAGGTCTCGTTTCTGCACAAAGGGAGGCAGCGCCGACTCCAGAACACCTGGCCTGGGGCCGGGCAGGGAGAGGATGCACGGATCTGCCTGCGAGAGGGGCCCCACCCAGCCCCGAAGCCGAGATCGGAGCTCCCAGGAGATGGGGGTTGCAGGGGGAGCTTGCCAGGGAGGGGCCCTGCCGGGGGTGAAGCCTCCTCGTCTGCAGCCCAAGCACAGGTGGCCCGGTCGTGCAGAACACAGGTGCCGCTGGTGCCGTCCCTGCTCGGCTTCCGGGCTGGGGCCCGGGGGCTGCAGTTCCCCCAGGGCTGGGGTGTGAGGGGGGCTCAGGGCCCGGTCAGAAGCACATCCAGACCCACGGCCGCTCTGGCAGAGAAACCGACAGCCGGGAAGTAAACAAATTAGAGCTGCACTTTGTTAGCTCTGGGGAACGCAAGCGTGAGCAGAAACTATCGATTTCTCATCACACAAACAGGAGGCGGCATCGTAATGCAGAGGCCTCCTGCCGGGAGGTGGGCGGCTGCTGGGCTGCTGACTGCGAGGGCGTGGGGCGCCCGCTCTGGGCTCTGCACTGCGAGCCCCAGTCCTAGTCTCTGCTCCGCTGCGAGCCGGGCTGGGTGGAGCTGGAGCCTCCTGCCACTCGGGTACCCCCAGGAGGCACACGAGGTCTAGGTGGAACTTCCCGACGACGTGAGGGAGGCGAAGGTGCTGCGAGTTGAGCCCTGCCCGTGGAGGGCAGCCAGGCTGGGAGCCACGGCGGCTGGGGCTGCTCTGCCGTGGACGTGCCGCTGGGGAAATGAGCGCTCGGGAGGACCCCAACACTACCACCAGTGGGGCTCCCCTCGTTACTTGGGATCCCCCTGGGGTGCATGTTTACGCTCCGGCTGGGAGGGGCTCAGGGCTCCTGCAGGACCCACGTCTGACCACGTCACCCCCAAACAAAACCCGTGGCTCCTCACTGCACACGGGGCAACGGCCACGAGTCTTCACCTTGGCATTCAAGGCCCTCCACGTTCTGTGTGCTCCGGCCCCGCCCGGCCCCGCGCACTCCTGTCTTACCCCCGTCGGCCGCAGCCCCGGGCAGACGCCCACGTGCAGCTGTTTGTGGGCCCCCCCGACCCCCCCAGGAGGCTGGGGACAGTGTCTTGCTCTGTGCCGCGGTGCAGGACCTGTGACTCTCTGGCACTCAGTAAGCGGATCCGCCCAAAGGCCGGTCCCCCACGCACGCTGCGTGGACGGGTGCGGCCACGAGCACGCGTGACTCCGCGCTGACGGCCACCGTGGAACCGAGCGGCTCCTCCTCGCCTGGCTCTGAGGAACATTTGCTTTCTGATCAGATATTACTCCGACGCTCAAGGCATCCTTGATGTTTGCAAGTCCGAAGAGTTTAATTACATGTGTCATCAGGACGGCACTCTGTAATAGCTCCGCGACCGAGTTCATTAACAGAATTCTCAACAGATAAGACAAGGCAAATTAATATTTTGCTGCCCATGAAAGCTTCTCATTAAGAGAGCGGCGAAAAAGTGATTAATATTTTGTTGCCAATCAAGATGTCTCGTACGAACGACAAAGACAGGGGCCCGCACGCACCTCTCGGTGCTCTGCCGTCCCCCCGCCGCGGGTTTTGAAGGTGGCTCGGCGCCCCGCGTCTGCCCGTCACTCCCCACGACGCCCGTGGTCGTGCTGCACCTGTCGCTGCAGCGGGCCAGCGTGGGCACCCAGATGTCTCCGGCTGAGGACGCCGGGGACCCCGCCAGCCCGGGTCTCTGCTCTGTCAGCGCTGCCCTCCTGGGCTGCCCGCTCCTGACCAGTCTGTGCTTCGAAATGCCCCGTGCACCCCGATGTCCTGGGTCTAGCCCTCCTCCCCCCCGTCTCCTCCTAGGGTCCCCCACGTGGGGCTGCCACTTAGGAACGCCTACCGTGCGCCATGCACCGAGCTGGGCACTCTGCACACACGTTCTGCCTGAAACTTCTGTGGGGGGGCGCGCGAGGGGGGGGCATCGGATCTCCATGTCTCTGTGGGCCCAGAGAAGTTTAGCAGCTCGCCCGGGGGCTGCTCTGGGGGTGGCCGGTCCACGCCTCTCCCCCTGGAGGAGTCGAGGCTGACCCGGACGGCGTCACCCTGTCCCCGACTACAGGCAGCAGGGGTGCTCCAGGGTCACATCTGCTCGGCTGGGCTACGGCTGCCTTCTTGTTGGGGACTCAGGCTGCACGATGTTGAGTGTGGTTCAGCAGCAGCAGAAGTAATGCTATTAATGATAGCAATGCTATTGATAGGAATAATGATCATGAGAGTGGTAACAGTTAGCATTTATGGAATAGTATATACTAAGAACTTATATGTATCTTCTCATTTAATCTTTACTGTAACCCTACGAGGTAGGTGCTATTACTTATTCCCATTGCACAGAGGAGGAAACTGAGGCTCAGAGAGGTCAAGGTTACTCAACGGCAACTTCCTAAGATTTCTCAGTCATTGGAGACTTTGACCCCAGAGCCCCCGCCCGGCACCAGCAGACTGTGCTGCCTCCTCCCCAAGGCGGGGGCAGGCACATGTGTTTCACGCGTAGTTTGTGTGTTGCATGCGCCAGGGGAGGACGCCGTGGGGCGGGCGGGCCCTGCACCCTCGCCGGGGGTGTCTGCAGGGCACGGGCCCTCCTCCCCGCTTGTGCGTCTGCCGACTCCCCGCGAGCAGCAGGTGCGTCCTGGGAGCTCACGCGGAGCCGTGCGTCCCCGGCCGCCCCTGCCTTCACCCGAATTGCCGGCCCGGTCATGGGAGGTGGACATGCAGCCGCGCTGGCAGCACATTGCAGGGAGGGAGGAACACCCAGAGTCACCTAATTAGCGGGCGGCAAGCGCGTGAGGAGGGGTTTTGCCTCTGCGTTCGCTTCTCACGTCTTTACACCGAGCACAAGGAGAGCGGGCGCGGGCTCCGACAGACGCAGGCGGCCCGTCCCGGGGCTGAGTCGGTCACGCCCGGCCACACGTGTTTAAAGGCCGGCACCCCGCCTCGACAGCTTTTGCACACGTGGACGCGTGCACCCCAACACGCCCGCACACAGCCCAGTCTTCACAGATGGGAACCACCTTTCCTTGCTGAGCTCTCAGGCAGGCCCCGGCCACCCCCGGCCAGGCGGACTCTGCCACCCGACGCCCGCCATGGTTGTGCCGAGCCGACACTCATGACGTCCAGGGTCCCGTCCGTGTTCCCCGCTGTGGGCAGGCCACAAAGAAGCTACACTGCCCGTGTGACGGCAGTGGGGGAGGGGTACTTCCGCCAGCTCTGCCCAGGGTGGAGCCTCCAGAGTGGCCCCCTCTTCCCGCTGCTCCCCCACGACCCCCCAGAGTGCAGCCAAAGGACCAGACGGTATCAGGGTCCTGACCCCGGTGGTTCCCGCAGCATTTCATGCTGGGCCCCTCTCCTGACAAAGGTCTCGGAGTTGGAACGGAGCTTCAAGGTCATGGGGTTTAGCTGCCCTCATGTGGATCAAAGTCCCTGCTTGAGCTTGCATGCCTTTAGGGACAGGGAGCTCACTGCTTCCTTTGATGGTTTGCTCCATTGTTGGGCAGGTTTGATGGCCGCAATGCTGTTCCATCTAGGGAGCCCTGATTGGCCTCCTTTTGGGGTGCACCTTGGTCCTCTCTGCTGGCCCAACACATTGGGCCACTCAGCCCAGGTCAGCTCCCTCTGCCCCAGCTCCCGACCCACCATGCTCGAGATGTCTGCAGGAACTGACTGCTCACCCCACAGGCCTTGCTTCCCCGGGGCAAACATCCCACTGTGGACCAGCTGTCCCGTCCTGAAGATCATATTCCTGTGACTGCAGCCCGAGACCTGCCAGCTGTCCCTGCAGCTCACTGCACGGGTGGCATCACTCTGTCTTCTCACATGAGCTTCTGGGAAGCCACATCATGGCTTGTGCCAAACCCAGACCAGTGCTTTAACTATTCCTCTTTAACTATTCCACTTCTTCATGTCCGATCAGAGAGAAGTGCTACTAAGGCTGCTTTTCTTACAGATCGATTCATCGAGGATCAGCAGGTTAAGAAATCACTCAACGTCACAAAGCCGACGCAGGTGACGCTGGGACCCCAACCCAGGCTGCCTGGTTCCTCGGAGAGCAAAGTCCCCCCGATGGCCACGTTAGCCCCACGAGCTCAGCCACTCTCCTCTTCCACGCAGAGAGCGTAACTCGTCAACCCTCCTCCCTCACCCAGCAAGGAAGGTGCCCAGGGCAGGGCCCCTCTGGCCTGACCTGCTTTCCCCCCTTCTCACCTGGCACCTGCCCTCCCGACCCAGCCCTGCAGCTCACCTCTGCCTTCCCGGGGACCACCCCTTCCCCCACGCCCAACCGTCCACACCGTGCCGGCATCAGGGCCCGGGCCGCTGCCTCAGACCCCTGACCAGTTGCGTCCCCTGCTTGGCGTGGCCCCTCTCTGTGCGTGTGGGGAGCCCACGCCCCTCCCTGCAGCCCCTTCTCAGCGCCACCTCCCGGCCTTCGCAAACGCAGACGCCAATCACAGGCCTCCTGCCCCGCCCACCTGTCCTTAGCCCCACCCATAGCTACCAGGCTGAAGGTCACCTGCCGCCGTGGGACTTTCTGCCACCTCCAGACGGACAACCGGCGGAGGCGGCACCCAACGTGGGAAGTGAAACCAGACCTCCCCCCCCCCCCCCCCGCCCTGCCATGGCCACCTGCGGCGAGCACAGGGTGCCCAGCGGCGCCCCCGAGTCCGGGCCAGTCCCGGGCGACTTACGTTGATGTCCTCCAAGTCCATGAAGTTCAGGGTGAGCCCGTTGCGCTTCCAGACGATCGGCGGCCTCAGGTCCCCGCGGATGGCGCAGGTCAGCACCACGCTCAGCCCCACGGTCACCGTGGTCACGCTGACCCTGTCCTCGGGGGCGAGGCTGAGCTGGACCACCTCTGTGGGGGAAAGGACAGCGGTCAGGTGCCGGCCAGGGCAGGGCAGGGCTGGGGCTCAGCTCGAGGCAAACGGTCACAGGTTTGCTGAGCTCGGCGCCCAGGGAGGGCTGCGCGGCTCCCTGAAAATTGTTTGCGAGGTGCCGACTAAATGCAGAGACGGACACTTGCGGGACAGGGGCTGTGCCTTACGTCAAATGCTCGAAAGGCTCTGAGGGTCGACACAGGCCCGGAACCCGCTAAAGTGCAGGGCACCGTCAGGACCACGGGTTCCTGAGCTGAGCCAAGACCGTGGGCTGCCGGGGCCACGGGGCCATCACGCAGAGACCAGGGGGCCCAGAGCGCGCCTGGCTGTCCCCAGCTGCTGACGTCAGGCGTCGCCAGGCACAGTCCAGGCCTGCTGGGGGCGCTGACAGTCTGCCGTGACACGTGGGGGAAATTTAAAGGTTTTGCACTGTCTGATGTCTGGGGCCGTGCCCGCTGACCTTGGAAGGCTTGTTTCTGAGGGTTCACTGAACTTGGGGTGTTTGGATTTCTGTTCTGCAACCATGCACTGTAGCAGCCTTTAGTTTTTTTAAGTGCTTCAGGCTGCAGGAATTATTAGCCCTTGCCATCTTACTCTCGATAACTGGCATGAAGACTGATCATCCCTCGGGCCGATGGGAAGGGTCTAAACTATTTCCTCGCGATCACAAGCCTTTTGAGATTCTCAGGATTTACGAAAACATCAAACTCAGGCTGCTCAAATGCCCTAACGAGATCAGGCTGGGGGACAGTCACCAGCTCACAGAGGGGACTGGCTCCCCCTCGCCCTTCCCCGCAAGCTGCCCACACGGGGGGCTCGGGCAGTGGAGGGAGGCAGGCTGGCTCGGGGGTCTGTGTATCCCGGAACGCCAGCAAAGCCCGGGCACCCCATTCACTCTTGCTACTCTTCTACTGGGGCCTGGGGGCCCTGACAGGTGTGTTCCCCAAACCCTCCAGAGCGAAGCGCAGAGCCAGGCGTTCAGTGACCCAACCCAGCCGGCTCCTGTGGGCTGCGCCAGGCTGCAGCGTGACCGAGCGCAGGCCGCACAGCTGTGCCCACGCCTGCAGCCCGCGTGCGGGAGGGTGGGGGAGGGAGAGAAAACGGCCGCAGGTGCTGCCACTGCGGAGCGGCCGGATTGGAAACGGCCGGGTCAGGCCCGAGGGGCACCTTGCGCTTCCTCAGTGCCGCTGGACGATGAAAGAGAAACGGAGAGGATGAGAGAAAGACGCCAGCCAGCAGGCCGGCGGGGAGGGGGCATCACACACAGGACAAATGTGACTCTCGGCGAAGGCGCCCTCTCGCGGAGCGATAAGCACCGGGTGACGGATGTGGGTGCAGTGGCGTGACGTTTCAGACGTCACAGAGAAACATTGCAAGCTCCCCCTAAACCACGTTCTGCGGCCGCCCTCCCACCCCAGTCCTGAGGCTCATTGCTCAGGGCGGGACGGGGGGCCCCAACTCCCCACGGCCAGACCCCGCTTTGCGGAGGGGAGAGAACGAGAATTTGCTGAAATTGCTCGGCCCCCACTGCGCCCTGCCGGCCCTGGGACCCAGGCCCCCGAGTCCCCCTGAGTGTGGGGGGCTCCTCGGGAATGTGGGGGCCACGTGCCCTGGAGGCTCTGGGGGGCCGTCCGTGTGCAGGCGAGGAGAGCTGAGTGGGGGGGCTTTGGAGGATTCCGCGCCCCCCACCTGGGCAACCGCTCGAGTCTGGGCTCCCTCCCCTCCGTGGGGGAGGACAGCCTAGGACGGGCAGAGCGGGCCCTGAGGGCCATGGGGGCTGCGGGAGGCCCTGCTCGGGGACGCCCTGACCCACACCCCGCCAGGCTCCAGGCGCTCTTGGTCAAGGTCAGCAGAGGCGGCTGAGGACACCACGCTGCTTCTCTGCGCCCACAGCCGGCGGGACGGGCAGGGAGCTGGAGACAGCAGCTCTTCAGACAGAGCAGGGCTCACCTGGGCGGGTCCGACCGTCGGCGGGACTGAGCCTCACAACGCACTGAGGCTTTAGGTGGGTTTCCTCCCAATGGGGCCTCTGAGGAAGTCAGGGTAGCTATGAAAAGAACCCCCGTTTATCTCTGTGTGTCCGAGCTCTGGTTGGAGGCAGAGGAACAGGCCACTGGGCAGTCAGGGCGGCGGCAGGGCTTCCGCTGGGCGGCGAGGGCTGCTTTTCAGCTGCTGCTCCAGCCACCTGCATCGCCTCTCCCGGCCGGCGCTCATGACCCAGCTGCCTGCCCGGGCCGGGGCGGGCGCTCCGGGGGCCAGGTGCGCTCCGGATCTTAACGAGCATCCCTGGGGGTTTTCCCCGGAACTCTGCCTGACAAGGTGGGGGGCGTCTGGGAGGATGGGAGGGGGCGTGCGGGCGGGGGCGGGGAGAGGAGGCAGCCTGGGAGGCTGCGGGCCCTAAATACCAGGCTGGGGTGTCGGGCAGGTGGGGGGAGGGGGTGGGTATATACATACACGATGAGTGCAGTGTGCACCGTCTGGGGGATGGACACGCTTCAAGCTCTGACTCGAGGGGGCGGGGGGGATGGGCAATATACGTAACCTTAACATTTGTACCCCCATAATATACTGAAAAAAAGAACCCGGCTGGGGGCACGGTTGTCACCAGGACATGGCACCTGCGTGGAACGCCGGCTCCCCTCCTCCATGTGACCCCGAGTTAGGTCCTCCACGCAGGTTTAGGAAAAGCTCCGGAAGCGCCAGGAACATGGGTTGAAAAACAACAAAATAAGCGAAAAACCCAAGCGGGAGATGGAAGCCACCTGTGTCCCTCCCGTGCCCGCCGGCCGGGACGCCTGGTGGCTGCACGCTCCCCCGGGGTGCATTCTAGATCATTCCCACATAGGGAGTCGTGCACTTTGCACAGGAGAAACTCCTGCGAGATTCGACTGCGTGAACACTGGCAGGACCGTCTCAATTCTGCTCCGTCAGCTACACAAACGTGAACCAAACAGCAAATATTTGGGGCACTTTAAAGTTTGATTAAATGAATGTTTCATTGGATTTAATTCGTGTCAGTATTCCCCAGCTCCTTGGGAAGTTCCGAGGAGAGTTTCGGCGACGCAGCCCTCTCCTTCCGCCCTTGCCCCAGTCGTTACAGTCCACAGACCCCCCAGGCAAGCCCCAGGTGCTGGCGGCCGGAGCTCGTGTCCGGGGAGGAGGGCCTGCAGTGCCTGGACGGGGCTGGGCGGGGTCGGGGCAGCCCGGCGGCGGGGAGGCTGCCTGGCGCTGCTGGGCCGAGGCTGTGCCCACAGGGACCGAGCCCTGCTGTGGGACCTGGCATCGGAGAGCCGCCTGGCGCGTGGGAGTTCTCCGGGCTGGGACACCCTGTCCCCGCGGGCCAGGCCTCTGACACCTGCAGGCTTCCCTTCGTTTCCCTGGCGACGGGGAGGCCTGGGTCACGCTGCAACGACTGTCACAGTCAGTGTGGTTTGTCAGCACGGGGCGGACACGCCAGGGCCGCTAGCACGGCCGAGCGTCCTGCAGCGGGATCCCAGAGCTGCCGGGCACCCTGGCGTCTAGCGCGGTGCCTGGCGCACAGTAGGTGCCCAAGGCCAGGCCCTCTCTCTAGGCCCCAGACCAGAGCGGTCACACGCCCCTGGCCTTGCAGACAGGTGGTTGCAGACACCCGCCCTCACCTTCGCCCCGCACGCTGGGCCACGGGAATCGACGTCCTTGCAGCTTCCCTCCAGCCTGTGCCGTTTCTCACGCCGACTCGAACTCGAGGAGACACGCCCAGGCCCGGCAGCGCCCTCCCAGACAGGGTTCCGGCGCTCCGTGGCGATAGAAATTAAATTTCTCGGACTCTTGTCAAGCTGGTGCTCGTTTTCTGGTGTCAGAGACCCGCTAATGGAACACGCTCCTGCCCGGACACTTGCCATTTTTCGAGCGATGCTGTTGGTGAGAAGACCCTGTCAACGGCTCCAACAAGGGCCGACCGCGGTGGCTGTCATCCTAGCACTCTGGGAGGCCGAGGCGGGAGGATCGTTTGAGCTCAGGAGTTCGAGACCAGCCTGAGCAGGAGCGAGGCCCCGTCTCTACTATAAATAGAAAAAATTAGCAGGACATGGTGGCCCATGCCTGCAGTCCCAGGTACTTGGGAGGCTGAGGCAGGAGGATCACTTGAGCCCAGGAGTCTGAGGTTGCTGTGCGCGAGGCTGACACCACGGCACTCACTCTAGCCTGGGCAACAGAGCCAGACTCTGTCTCAAAAAAACAAAAACAAAAACAAACAAACAAACAAAGGGTCCATCGATCTACATGCATGTCACTAGTTCTAGCTGAGCCTCAAAGGGCAAACCCAGGGGCAGGGGCCTGTTTGGGGCTTAGGGCAATTTGCAGAAAAAGCGCAGGCCAGGCATTGAGACACGTCTCTGTAGCTGCAGCCTCTGCTCACACTGTGCTCCCCGCGATTTCATGTGCTTTCCCTGGAACGAACCCCTAAGGTGACCTGTGAGCCACCAAGGAGACACTGGACCCGAATGACAAACTCTGCTACTGGTCTTGTCCCTGTGACTAGGGCCACCGTGCGAAGTTGGCGAGTTGGGGGAGAAACCAAGGTAGTGAGTAGCCCGGCGCCTCCTGAGCAAGGAGGGGACGGGCCACGTGCCAACGTCTCCTGGACCTTGTGGCTTCCACTTCTGCTCTGGTGGCCCTGGGGGGACCGTGCTCAGGGCAGGGCGGGGTGGGGAGATGTGTGCACTTTTTGTCTTCTCTGTTCCTTCCATGAGAAGTTGCCACTCTGGGCTCCTTTCGAAGTTTCTGCTGAAGCTTTGCAGGGGGGAGGCTGGGAGCAGCACGTGTTGGAGTCTCCCCCCTCCACACGCACATGTGAGCCTCGAGTGCGTCCAGCCTGCCCAGGCTGCTCTGCGGTAGCCAGACTGCTCCAAAGCCACACATAGGAAAGCCAAAGGCACTTTCCTATGCCCTCAATCTCCTGTTTCTTCATGCATCATCTCATTCAGTCTTTCTGTGATTA